ATTTGTCTTCCTTACTAGACCACGAGCCCATCTAGGACAAGGGACCCAGTTGTCTTTGTTGTCTTTGGAGCCTCAGTGTTTAGTGTGGTGCCTGGTGAAGAGTTCTGCAGATACCATTTTCTCTCTCACTGTTTCTTTTTTGCATTTGAGATCTTCTCTCTGTCTCTGTTATTGTGTTTTTCCCTATTGGTCTTTGTTCTTCTCAGTCCATCCCTGTCCCCTCGCCTAAGCCCGGCCTGGGTATGGGCCACCCTCCTCTGTCCATTTCTCCTACAGACAGTGTACAGTGCCCTGGGCCTGAGGGATGCTTGCCGCTCCCTGCCCCAGTCCATTCAGCTCTTTCGGGACATTGCCCAAGAGTTCTCTGATGACCTACACCACATTGCCAGCCTCATTGGGAAAGTGGTGAGTGGAAGGAAAGAGGCAGAGCTCCTGGGAAACTAGGGGAGGGATGGGTTTGGGTAATAGAGAACGACGGGGCTCTGGGGAATGTGGTGTGGAAGATGGGGATGCATGGGAGACACTGAGGTCAGCTGGATGACCAAGGGATGGGATGGTGAGAGGAGATGGCAAAATATCAGGGATCTGCTTGGGGGCTTGGAGGGTTAGGGTTGAAGCAGGGACTGAAGGGGCCCAAGTAGAGGTGAGGAACAGGACGAGATGGTGCTGGATGTAAAGAACCTGGACTTCTTGTCTCCTCAGGTGGACTTTGAGGGCAGTCTTGCTGAAAATCGCTTCACAGTCCTCCCCAACATAGATCCTGAAATTGATGAGAGTGAGTGTTAGGTGTACGGATGGGCCTATGAGCCCTGAAACATGAGCCTGCCCAGTGATGGGGTACCATTCTCAGTAGGCGGCCACTGCATCTGGGGATAATCATCGCAACCAGAGCAGGAACCTTACTTTTGATATCCACGTGTCTTTCACCCTCCTAGAAAAACGAAGGCTGACAGGACTTCCCAGTTTCCTCACTGAGGTGGCTCGGAAGGAGCTGGAAAATCTGGACCCCCGTATTCCTTCATGCAGTGTCATCTACATCCCTCTGGTGAGGGCAGGAGGGTGGGTGTGCTCCCCAGGGGTTTTTTAGGGGGACATTAGGCCTATGAAGTACACATTAGTAGATAAGAAAACCCTGGAGAAATCTGAAGAACATGAATACTTTTTGGTGGCTTTAGCCCCCTGAGGGAAGCATTGGGGGATATAGGGGACTCTGGCTTCCTCTAAGGAAAGAAAGTGCCCAGTACATCACTCTCTGCTTTATCTCTTTTCTACTCTCCGCAGATTGGCTTCCTTCTTTGTATTCCCCGCCTGCCTTCCATGGTGGAGACCAGTGACTTCGAGATTGAGGGTCTGGACTTCATGGTGAGACCCTTGACCTCTGTAGGGGTTGATAAGGAAAGTGAATGAGCAGCTGAGAGGAGGGCCTTACCCCATCAGCACTGCCCAATGTGGGATCCCTCTTCTGTTGTTTTACTCTGATCTTTACCAGCTCTGAGACAAAGGAGAAAGAAATCAAGGTCAGGGCTGGAGCCGGGGTTAGATAGGATGAGGATCGAGAGAAGCAAAGCCCATAGCTTTGAACCCTTGTATCCAGTTCCTCTCAGAGGAGAAGCTTCACTATCGTAGTGCTCGAACCAAGGAGCTGGATGCATTGCTGGGGGACCTGCACTGCGACATCCGGGGTGAGGAGAAGCGAGTGGCTGGAGTGGAGCGGGCAGCATGGAGATGATTCTGATAGGCTCCTTTCCTTCCTGCCATTGCTCTCTCTTTCTCTCTCTCTCTTTCTCTCTCTGACTCTGTCTTTTCTGAATGTCTCTGGGTATTTCAGATGGTATCTGCAAGCCTGTTTCTGGATCCCTCTGCTGGCCTCTTTGTCTCTCCTTCACTTTCCCCTGGAGCTGACCCCCAGCTCCCTCCCTTACCTACCCCCAGACCAGGAAACCCTGCTGATGTACCAGCTGCAGTGTCAGGTGCTGGCACGGGCAGCTGTCTTGACCCAGGTGTTGGACCTCGCCTCCCGCCTGGATGTCCTCTTGGCTCTTGCCAGTGCCGCCCGGGACTATGGCTACTCAAGGCCCCGTTACTCCCCACGGCTCCTTGGGGTACGAATCCAGAATGGCAGGTGAGAACAGAAAAGGGTGGAGGCATAGACAAGAGGGGCCCAAAGGCCCCATCTTCTGCATCCACAGGCCATGTGCAAGGTACCTCTCCACCCACTCCACTGCAGGCATCCTCTGATGGAGCTCTGTGCCCGAACCTTCGTGCCCAACTCCGCAGAATGCGGGGGGTACAAAGGGAGGGTCAAAGTCATCACTGGACCCAACTCCTCAGGGAAGAGCATATACCTCAAACAGGTAGAGGAATCCCTACAAACTGGGCCTCTGGAATGTTCTCCATTGTCTCCATCCCCCACCTGCCAGTCAACCCAGGTCCCTACAGCTCTTCTCCCTGTGTTCTGACCCCAGCTGTCATGAAAAGACCGTAGCCCACACCCGCTGCTCCTCTTCCTCCCAAGTTCTCATTCTCTACCTGAGGGAGAGCCATGCTCTAATGACCGTTCCATGGCCTGAATTCTCCTCCCCCACCTCTGAATTAAAGTGTGCCTTTGCTCACTCGCTGCCCTTTACTGATTCTAAAGCGAGCAGAGGGGCTGTGATCTTCTATTAAACTGTGTCCGTCTCTCTTGATCTATTGTTCTCCCCTCAGTTTAGCCTCACCTTCACCTCAGCCACACGAGGCACCGGGCCCTGTCTCGTCCCCTATTCAGGTAGGCTTGATCACATTCATGGCCCTGGTGGGCAGCTTTGTGCCAGCAGAGGAAGCCGAAATCGGGGCAGTAGACGCCATCTTCACCCGAATCCATAGCTGTGAATCCATCTCCCTTGGCCTCTCTACCTTCATGATCGACCTCAACCAGGTCAAAAGGAGGATGGGTTGGGGGAGGGGGATAATGGGGAAGGAACCCTACCCGTGAAAAATGTCAGGAAAAACGTTCCTTCTGCCTGCTCTCTAAACTAGGGGCAGGGAGCACCCAGTTCAGAGACCAGGAGAATCAATACCGCGAACCTTTATCTATCCCCGGCTTTGTGTGAGGCACTGTTGGCAATGAAAGGATGAACAAAACATGTGTCTCGCCGTTAAAGAACTTGCAGTCCTGTTGGGTGGACACATACACAAGCAGCTTTACTGCCAGGTAGACTGTGGTCAGTGCATTACAGGCCTCGAATGTTTCTGAAACTATCCCTTGTCCACCTGGTACCCAGCAGGTGGCGAAAGCAGTGAACAATGCCACCGAGCGGTCGCTGGTCCTTATTGATGAATTCGGAAAGGGAACCAACACGGTAAGGGGAGAAGCTGTTGAGGATCTAAGGAGGGGAAAATGAAGGAGGGCTAAGGAACAAGAGGGTGCGGCTGCGCCTCTGGAAAAGAATAGGGGTGTGTGGGTAGAAAAGAAACAGTGTGAGGCGGGAGAGGCCTGGCAGGAGGAGAGGGGTGCACGGGGCACTGTGGTTCCACAGCCTCACCGCTGCCCTCTGCACAGATGGATGGTCTCGCGCTTCTAGCGGCCGTGATCCGACACTGGCTGGCGCTTGGGCCCACGTGCCCCCACATCTTCGTGGCCACCAACTTTCTGAGCCTCATTCAGCTACAGCTGCTGCCACAGGGGCCCCTCGTGCAGTATTTGGTGAGGAACCAATCCAGCTCCTTAGGGGCCCCTAGGCCGAGCATTTCCCAGAGCTGGGAACTGGCTTCTCCGTCAGAACAGGGGCTCCTTGAGCACAGGGACCACGTCCCTTCCTGTTTCTCACTCTCCACAGCAACTGACCAGGGGACTGGGGCAGGAAGCAGAATGACTGATAACATTCCCCTTTTATTCTCTTTTAAGACCATGGAGACCTGTGAAGATGGGAATGACCTTGTCTTCTTCTATCAGGTTTGCGAAGGTGTTGCCAATGCCAGCCATGCCTCCCACACAGCTGCCCAGGCTGGGCTTCCTGAGAAGCTCGTTGCTCGTGGCAAGGAGGTGAGGTCCAAACAGCAGCCACCTCCGCCAGGGCTCCCTTCCACCGTCCCTGCTTCTCCGAGGGGCCTGGATTCTGACCCTACAACACCCACTCCCACCCCTGCCCCTTCCTGCTTCTCTGAGGGACCT